GCCCGCCACAATGCCTGGCTATTTTTTTGTTGCAGTTGTCAATGTTGTTTAGCTGGCCCCAGCCAGGTTTGAACCTGCCACCCTTGGTGTATGTGGCTGGCACCATAACTACTGTGCTATGGGCACCAAGCCCATTTTCTTTACCTTGTTTAGGTCTTTTTGAAACTGGTTTTTCAACTCTTTGGGCACAGACTGCCCTTTATTGTGCAAGTCTGTTATTTAACTTTCACACTTGACTTTCGCCCATGTTTTCCAGAATGTGCCATACACAAAAGGAATAGGAGGACTGGACAATATTGCCTTGGATAATAAGCTCCTATGCTCAGAGACAATCCCACTACCGGGCACATAGCAGACATTTGTTGATTGACTATAACTCATTGCGATTAATCTAGTTTCTTGATGGATAACTATTTGCCAGTGTGTTCATCTCAGTCTCTTTTTCCTACACCAGATTAGAAAAGTGCATCAGTATGGAGATCTCTGGCCTCCATGTAGGTCCCCTGGAACTCTTTCCTGTGGTGTATTTGCCACTGCTAGTCTTAAATCTATATTCCACTGACATCTGACTCTCAGACTTGGATGGACCCATGTGGCTACCTAGGAAGGGAGCTTGTGTTTACCTGAAGCTTGTTAACACTCATGCTCTAATTGCCAAGTAATTGGAGAAGATGTACACTTTTTAGCTTAAGATACACATACTACTCTCATATGTATTTGATAAGAATTTTTTATAGTGCATCCTTCCTGAGCACTGACATGATAATATTAATCAGGGGCTTTAGTATTAATTAATATTAATCAATATGAATAAGAACTCACCTTTTGGTCTAGAAATTCCACTTCTAGAATTCCTCACACACAAATGTCCAAACGTGCAAAGATGATAGCATAGAGATTTATATTGCAGCATTTATTACAGTAATGAAAAACTGGAAATAACCTCAAAGTCCCAAGTAAGAAAATGGTTGAAAAGACAAGTTATAAAAGAAAGAGTTATTTTCTATATGTTAAGAATTTATATGTCACTTAATGTATTCAGAGTTTTAAAGTTTGGAAAGTTTTATACCAAAATATTAACTATGATTGATTATCTTTGAAGGATAGAGTTATCAATGACTCAAAAATTTTTATTTGCTTTATCTGAATTACCTGAAATTTCTAATATTTTTCTAAAATGACAATGTATTCTTCTATATACGTATATATAATATTAATATTTTTCAGGTAATACAGGCGAGGCAACTCAACTTTAAAAGGCTAGAGGGTACTTTTAATAACTGCAAAATAAGTTTCAGTAAAAAATTATAAAACACTCTTTAAGACCTATTTTACAGAGAATCCTATTTCTGAGGTCTAGATATTGGCTATGCTATCCTCTGTTTCAAATTCATCTAAGCGTGTTCCCATGGGACCACCACCTCACAAAAATTCCCTGTCAAATCAAACACCATGATTGCACATGCTTCTTACCAGATAGGCTCTCCAGAAGGATTGAATGAGGAGAGCAGCTTCTCTTTCTGTCAGCAGGAGAGAGAGTGGGATTGGTGGCCTCGGGCTGAAAAGCAATAACACAGGCATATGCCCATGAGAATACGTCCTTTAGCCTTGGCGCTGCCTTTGACAACATAATGGTCTCTCTGACTAAGTGCTTCATCCATCTATTCTTAGACAGCAACAATGTCATTTTAGATAGAAAAGTGTATGCTTGAGTTGGCATTTCTTATTTTAAAATCTGAAATGGATCTTTTTTAAACCAGCATAATCTTAAATTACTGTTAGCCTGCTCTACCTTTGAAGGACTCAGGTGGCTAAATTTGCATGTCAGTCCCAAAGGTGCAACATACATGTTATTGACCTAAGCCTATATAGACATAATGCAAGAGACAGAGAAACAGCAGTCTTTATACTACATTATGACTGAAACATAATAAAGGGCTCTTTCTCCAACTTTCCACTGAAGGAAAATTAAGTACTATAGTTCTTCTCCTTCCTGAAAGCAAAATATTGGAATTTATCTCTCATTAGTATGTGTTCCAGATCAATATGGTCTAAATTCAAGCATATTTTTAAGTTCTTATGACATTCATAATAAGAAATAAAACATCTCAAGTGTTGGGTCAGTTGATAGCATCAGCTTTTGTGGTAATTATGACGGAATTTTTGATCACACTTACCACATTAAAAAATCAAGAGTACATAGTCTTTTTTTTCCTAAAAATTTAATAACAGCATTAACTGCGGACCAGATCTCATAAGCCTGTCTTAATTCTGTTTTTTTATGTTTCCCCAAAGCAAAGCACAGCTATCTCTGAAAAGCAGAGGTCAAGCTTTTTCAGATATAGTACAAAGACATAAACCTTTGAAAGGCTGTGGATCACACGGAGGCTGTTCCTCGTGCAAGATCCCCAGAACAGACTTTGCAAGTGAGCAATTCCCAAGAGCCCTCACCTCAAAGCTCTACCTAATATCAACTAGAGCTTGCAGTAACTGTCATTATGTGCAGAAGTTGACCAACCTGCCCAAGGTCACATGGCTTATAGCAGGCATCCTCAAACTACGGCTCATGAGCCACATGCAGCCCGCCTAGGACATTTATCCAGCCCGCTGAGTGTTTTTGCTGCTGCTGCCTGTCCTGCTTAGCAGCTAACTCTACCTGGGGCCCGCAGTCCGGCCCTCCAACGGTCTGAGGGACAGTGAACTGGCCCCCTGTTTAAAAAGTTTGAGGACCCCTGGCTTATAGGATAGTCTAGTCAGGATCTAGGCCCAGACCCATCTCATCCCAAAGCCCAAGCTTCCCTCACAAAGCATAGTGACACACGGCACCCGAACTGGGCAAATGTTTGCAGATTCCTAGCCTGGCTCAGACTGCAAAGCTAAGGGCAACAATGCACGATTCTCTAGGATCAGGGTTTTTATTTCCCTTTAAAGTTTGTCTTAAAAAAAAAAAAGGAGAAAGAAAACCTTGATACAGTATATTTGTTTGAATAAATGAATGCTCTTTTGAATTATTCCAGAATCAAAGAAATCAAAACCAGGAAGAACACAGGGGTTATCAACACCCTCTCTAGCAAGGGCAGTGTTACTGCCAGCTCTGGTTTTCTATCTGGATAGGTCTTTTCTAAGAGACCAAGTAAAGGAGATTCTTCCATTTCTTTGGAGAGATAATTATACCATCAAAATGATAGCATTGTTAAAAATGTTTCCCTAATGTTCAGTTTCCATTTTTATTTGCATAATGTGGCGGCTTTTAATTTTTTTTTTTTTTTTTTTGGTTGTTTCGGTTTTCACCTCTTCTCAACTAATATCCAGTTTCCGAGGCTGAGATGGCACCTTCAACTTTTGCTGGAGGCACATCAGCTCCCTGCCTTTTGCCTTAAATGTCGCTCCTCATCTACTGTCCTTACTTGATACATTTCAGTTGTTTGACACCAACACATCACATCCCTGAAATAATTTCCCTTCACTGGTGACACATTTACAGCTTCTGGAGAGACCTTGTTGTTTCTAAGGAGACCTTGGTGTATTGGCAGTGGTGTATGAGGACGGTGCTGTAATACATTAACGCCCCCTGGTATTCACTGAGGGCTTTCTGGACCCCTCCCGGAAGCCTTGCCCCTTGCATTCTGGCCAGGCTGGCCCTTTGCAGCTACTCAGTGTGCATCTTCTCCCATCTCAGGGCCTTTTCAAAGCATTTCCTCTTCCTCTTCTAGCCCCCTACTCCCAGCCAGGAATACCCTGTACAGCTATCAAGTTGTCCCTCTGCTCAAGGGCACCCAACAGATGAGCCAGAGGGCACTAAAACCCAGCCTGTGCTCTGCTCCCTGGTGTGGGGCCCCAGAATAGTAGAGATACCTTTTCCTAATTTGCTCAAATGCACCTAGGGCTGGTGGGGACTCAACATGTCTTTCTCCTGTTTTCTTCTTTATTCCTTCTGATCTCCACTCATGTGTTACTGAAAAGTGTCCTTTGATTAGGTCAGGGCCCAATGAAGCTCCCTGTAACTTTCCTTCCTAGTTCTTGACCCAATATGGAGAGATAACCCTATCTGATTATCCAATTAATCTTCTACTACAATGAAAGCTCCATGAGGGCAGAGACAGGTCCTGTGTTCGGTCCTCTTGGTATTCCCAGCACTTAGGATAACGTCTGGCACATAGTAGGTGCTCAATAAATACTTGTGGGGTGAGTGGTCTCCTCAGTGCCCAGTAGCCCACTAAATGCTTTCTGCATGTGATTTTGTTAAATCCTCACAACATGAATAATGAGCTATGCCTACCCCTTTGTTTAGAGCTGAAGGAACATGCTTTAAAGCATAGAGAGGTAAAAGGACTCTGTGTTCAAAGTCACTGAGCATTTCCTGCTGAAAATGCAAAACGCCCAGGAAACACTGGCAATGGCCCAGAGAGGAGAAGGGGCCAGCACACAAGGTCATCAACATGAAGTCAGGGTTTAGCAGCTGCTGAGTGTTACACAGAAGAAAACACAGTCATTTGCCTCCAAGGAAAAAAATGGAGGAGGGGGCCTTCATCATAGAAAATGCCCTCCCCATTAAAGCTCACAGTAATAACCCAGCAGATACTCATTTGTCTGAACCTCCACAGGGAAATCCTGTGTGAAGACAGCTAAACAAAGTGGAGTTTGTCACTTGTATCTGAGAGGAGATTTGATGGCGCCTTTCTGTTCAGCTGCAATTTTCTTGCTTGAAGTATGATTTTTACCACTGATGTCATGAAATCCTCAAAGTAACAGTATTCCTGTTTCGGAATAGCAGGAGGAAAGGAGAACTGCAGCTCAACAAAGGGCTTTCACCAGAAATGAAACCCTGAACCGCTTTGCATCACAATGACATCTCCAAAAAAGCAAAATGAGATTTCTAATAGGCCTTTAAGCAGCAATACGAGGCCACCTTTAGTGACATCCCTGCTTTCATAGCTAAATAATGGGGTGCTGTCTCATTCCCAAACCAAAATTAAGTATGAGAAAGCTCCTGTAGATTAGGCCAAATGAAAAGGACTTACTCTTCCAAGAGTAGTCCCTGGGAATCAGCGATCATTTCAGCAGGCCAGCTTGAAGGGACAGAAGCCATGCCAGGCCCCTTTCTCTCTCTTGGAATCAGCACAACTGGCTTCAGGTCAAATAAAAATAAAGAGGCGACTGCTCATCACCAGGGACCGGGGGAGGGAGGAGGAGATGAGTGTGTCAATCACAGAAGGCAGCTGAGGCTCCTCCAGGGCTTAAATCAGACATCCTCAGAGCAGCCGCTTTCGCATGTTCAAACAGGCACGCCAGTACCGGTGAGTATGCTTCCAAGAGGAATTATTTCATTGGCAATGCTCATTTGTCATGTCCTCCTTTTCTCAAATGTGAATTTAAATATATTTGACTCGTAAAAATCAATGCCATCATCCTGAGAAGGAACAAAAATTTATTTTTCTGATTGTGTTGTGCACATATAAATATGCTTCTTTCTTCTTTCCTCTTTTCTGGATGCTAAGTAAAGGATTTGCAGGACATAAAGAAGATGTAGCATGCTAACAAAACACATAATAAGAAAATCTGAGAAGGTAGTCTTCATCAATTTCTCCGTCCAGTTCTAAGACAATTATTTTTGTTTTTATTTTTTTGGAGACAGAGTCCCACTTTGTTGCCCTTGGTAGAGTGCCATGTTATCACAGACCATAGCAACCTCAAACTCTTGGGCTCAAGTGATTCTCTTGCCTCAGTCTCCCAAGTAGCTGGGACTACAGGCACCTGCCACAACACCTGGCTAAGTTCTAAGACAATTAAAGAGGTCCAAAATTATATTTAAACAAAATAAAGAAGAAAGGAGAAAAGCTTGCTTCAGACTGAAAATTGGATTTTGGGATCCAAATTCTATCCACTTTGTATTAGCCAAGAGAGTTGTTTTCTTGGAACATGCAAGCATAACCCAGATGTAAAGCTATTTAAAAAGATGGCATAGGCCCTAAATCAATCATCATAAAGTCTTATATTGGCTCAGTATACGATAATGTCCATCTGATATATTCAGTAAAAGAGCCCTTAGAGAGGCCTCGCCATTCCCTTGCTAATGGGCTTCCCAAGCAATCTATGTTGGAGGCATCACATTTTTGACTTACGAATGTCAAATATTTGTAAGAAGTACAATAGAAGTTACCTGGACTGGTCCTTCCAGACATAGGGTGACTAGCCATTAGGACAGAATCCTGAAGGATTCTTTCATTCCATCCTTCTACGAACAGGAGGATAGCTCCAAAATCCAATGGAACATGACTCCTTCATGCCTTAAATCATGTTATTAAGACAAGATGCTCCTTCCTTCTCCCTTGCTAATCTCCACTTTGGGAGATCAACAAGCAGTTATTACCCCAGCATCAGGCTGAATCATTCTCCTGGTTAAACACAGAGCTGAGTCCTATTTTACCAACCCCATCACTGAAGCTGCATAAGCTGCGTGTGCGTTTAGATAACAGCGCTCACCAAACAAACTGCAATACCACGTGCTCGATCCGTGGGATTTGGGTATAACAAGCTGAAAAACCAAGGCTGTGACAC